GAAGCCCTCCACACAACCCTCAACTCGGCTCTTAGCATCCTATAGTCTAAAGCACGACGACACCCTATAGATTACTAATACTACCAAAACTAAAATGATTCGAAAACATTCTAGCAGCTAACGATGATCCCGATGCGACAATCAGAAGATCAGACGATTCCGCAAAAATTCCGAACTGGAGAAATCTGGCTGAGATCTGGACCTTGGCATCAGGTCCTCCTGTTGTGAGGGTTCCACTCTTCCCTGCTTGGGATATGCTAGGTCTTGACAACTTCAACATCTTTTAAAACTCCCGGGCCACATGAACTCTACTAATTGATCTCCACACTTAACATTCAGGTGCTCAGGAAAAATCTACAACCACAACAACATTCACAAATTCCAACGCGCAAGCAACACTCCAAAGACAAACAATCAGTCCCTTCATAATAAGAAATTACATGAAACTAGAGTTAAATATGATAATTTCATTCAACTGATCATTCAAGATTACAACTGGACTCCCAGAACATAAACATAAAATACAATGATACCACAATACAATACCCAACCAAATCGAAGAACTGAAAACTCAAGCCTCGGTCTTCGGAACTCCGGCCATCCTATATTGTCTGTCTCGTAACTGCCAAGATAGGTTTGTAGGGTTCTGAAACTCGCCGAAAATAAGAAGGGGACAATGAGCTCTGATGTGGCCCTCCTGTCTGCAATGGAAACAAACCCGCAAACTCCGCCTACAATCCCTATCAAAAAGACCCTCTTCGCCACACATGCGACATACAGAAGATCGACACCTTCCATCATGAAACCTTCCGTACTTGCCACACTCGAATCTTTTCCTCTCATCTGATCCTGAACTCGCATCAGCAGACTTAAAGTGCTTGGCTGTCGGCTGATACTGTCCTGAAGTTGTCCCTTCCTCCTTCTACTGAATCTTCAACTCAATATCCCTCCTCCTGGCGCTTGACTGCATCTCGGTCAAGGTCCGGTACTGCTGAGTAGACACAAACTCTTGAATCTCCATCTTGATCATACTCAAGTATCGCGACATTTGCGCCTGCTCTGAAGCGGCATATTCTAGGCAGAAAAGAGCTCTCTCTATAAATATCCTGGTGATCTCCTTCACTGACTCTGTTGTCTGTTTAAGCGACAGGTACTCCTATTCCATTCGCTCTCGCTCCACATGAGGAACATACTCAGCACGGAACATATCCAAAAACTACTCCCAAGTCACCGTGACTCGCTATGCCTTTGAGAAGCCCTCAGTCACAAACTCCCACTAATCATTCTCACCCCAACAAAGAAGAATAAGCACAAACTTCACATTCTGGTTCTTGGGACACAAACATGTGAAGAAGCATCCCTCCACATCAGAAATCCATCTCAAAGTGATACTTAGGTCCCTGTCGTTTCTGAACTCCGAAGGCTTCGTATATTTGCACTCTCGGTACTGCATCGCCCCGCCTCTCAGAGATCCTGCAATAGCGACGACTATTATGGTTGCGACAGCAGCTACGTGCGTGACGGCAACATAGCGTCGATCAAACTCCTCTATCAGTGCGGTCTTGACCAACCCAAACAACTTCGGAATCGCCTCTCTGATCGCCAAGGCCACTTTGGCGGCAATGATCCCATGAATCTCCTCATCCTACAGACCTACTCTAACAGTGCCACCATCACCTAATCCTGAGCCTCCATAGTCGCCATACTGAAAATACACCATGGAAAAATCAGACATCAAAACACAGTGCTCAACACACCAGGCCACCCTCCTATTAGTTCCTTAGTAGCCTCGAGATTCCTCCTGAATCTCATACAAATCATGTGCTTTCAGTATTATGGGCCCATACTACCTTCCACACCTATCCATAGTCGATTCGGAATTCATCCCAAGGTCCTAAGTCACTGCACTAGACCATTCCTAGGTGTGTTAACACCTACTTATCCTATGAGCTACAACTAACTTCCTAGGCACTCTTCCTAGGATTGTCCTCGCTCCCGCACCATTGTTTGCTTTTGTGCATGTTCGTTGTACACAATACGAGGTTAGATAGACTGTCGAATAATTGACTCTTCCCTAAGTCCACAACCAAACAAGGAACAGGAAATAAGGCTAAGCCGATCATTCTAATGCTATTTAATCCCGACCATATACAACTATAAAACATACACGTATTAATCACACAATCAAATAACATATAACAAGCAATTTCCTACATCTTAAGGCATCACCAAAATCAGGCACTTCTATCTAAAAGTCCCTATGAGAACCTTAGATTATCCACTAGCATGCTTTTATAACAATTCATATATCAACAAGTTCAAATTCAACACAAATAACAAGTATGGGTATTTTGGGAACCACTCTCCTGTTCGGGCTCTGGCTGACTGTACACACCGCCATCTTCCTGTAAAACCAAGGTTAAGTCAAGGTTCACGTTCCCGATCCCAAGCCAATAATCAAACAAGAACATGATAAGAGACCGGGCCCATGTCCCTAACCCAACCGTTTTGTTATAAATTTCATTTTCAAAAACGTTTTGTGAAAATTCTTGGATCCTAGTTTGAGTTTGGATTCACACAAGTGTTCTTCCGGTTCACTCAAACCAGGGCTCTAATACCACCTTGTAACGTCCCATTTTCACAACCAAAAATTTTCATTTTTATTAAGGTAAAACTCCATATCATAAAACCAATATTAAGAAAAACCATTTGTTCCAAATTACATTTGTAAAATCAGAGTAATATTATAACACAAAGTCTTCATTGCTGTTGATGAATGCGTACAGTCACACCTTCGCTTTCCCATGATAACTGATGATACCTGAAACAATAACAGTTGGGTAAGCACAAAGCTTAGTAAGTTTCCCCAAAATAACGCACATAACATAACATAAACAAGCATGCATATCGGGTCCTCACTCATCGAACTGGAATGCCCCGGGTTTGTTGGCCCACCACCTCAACCCAACCGCTCTTCCCGAGCCTCTGTGCATATGGCTTACAGCCGGCCCGCACCTGGTATCGTGGCCTACAACACAAAGCAGGACCGCCTCAACCTTATCCACCATCATATGTCGACATATAAACAAACAAGGATCAAGTAGCACATAATACAGGCAATATCAATCATACAACTCACTACAGCCCACTAGACCTCTCACAGCACACTGCTTCGCTACTAGCTAACCTCCATCGAATGCGTAACCATAAGTAACCATAGGTGAGATAGCCAATCGAACAAATGATCCTACTCTAGAGCCACAACCAAACAAGGAACAGGCAAGAAAGCCTAGATCAGGGGTTCTCAAGCTATCCTACATGATTACGTACAGTCCCTAGGACATTCAACTAGACGATAGCCTGCCTACTGGTACTCTAAAATGTATACCACTACTGTTTCATCCTATCACACCGGTGTATATATATATATATATATATATATATATATATATATATATATATATATATATATATATATATATATGGTTAGGTTATTGTGTTCTAACTATCTATTATGTGGGTGTAGGATTGATTGTGGAGCAATTATTTTAGTTATTTTAAGAAAGTAATTAATGCGTATTAAATGTTGAAGATGTAATAAGTATTAATTAAATCTTCAGCATTTTATATGTATTAGTTACTTTCTTAAAATGACTAAAATGATTGGTCCACAATCAATTCTACATACACACAATAGATAGTAGAAACATTTGAACCTAACTCTCTCTCTCTCTCTCTCTCTATATATATATATATATATATATATATATATATATATATATATATATATATATATATATATATATATATATATATATATAGCAGATTACTAAAACATAACAACATCCTATACACAATGATACGTGACTAACTCTGCAAGGAATAAGTAACTATATGTAACCAGAGGTGAGATAGACACCCGGACAAATGATCATACTATAGAGCCACAACTAAACAAGGAACATGCATGAAAGCCTAGATCAAGAGTCCTCAGTCTATCCTACATGATCACATACAGTCCCTGGGGCATCCTTCTAATAAATGGTAACCAAAAACTAGTGGGCTGACATTAATGCCTTTGACCCACGGGTACAGTGAGGAGAACTCACCTGAAATGAAAAACACCAAAATACTGAGATGCGCTTCCCTTTCTGCACTGCTTGCTCTCGCGAATCCACTAATCACCCAAACTAGGTAAAATATTAATCAATAGTCCAAAACCCTCAAGTTTGACCTAAAGTCAAACTTTGTCAAAAGTGGACGGTCAACGAAAGTCAAAGTCCATGGTAGGCTGAGTACGCCCAACGTACTCCAACCCTACGCTCAGCGTACATGATTCAAGCCTAGTATGCCCAGGGTATTCCTAGGTACGCCCAGCGTACGCAAGTTGTTTCCAACATTTCCATTATGCATTTTATCCCTTAAGAACTTTCGTCCAGAGCTTAGATCTAGATCTAAATGACATCCTAAATCATAAAGTTTCCAACTTTATGACTTTGCATGGCTAGAAAGGGTCCAAATCCAAAACCCTAACTTATCATAAAGTTCTAAGCTTCATAACTCATGCATGAATGGAAGGAAAATATCAAGATTGCATTTTATGACTTAACACCCTCAAATACACCTGGAAATGCACCTCACAAGCTCTGGAACAACTCACACTCGAATGGACCAATTTGTAGGACAAAAATGACAAAACTCTAACATCTAAGTTAGATCTATCAATGAAGGCATAAATGTACAAACTTTATACATTCTGGAGATGAATGAGAAATGAGAACTTCCAGATCCAAAGTTGCTTCAAACTTCCGACCACTATCACCACATTCTTCTTCCTTCAAAGGCATCCAAAATTTCGAAACATAGTTACACTCCTAAATGGTTCTCTTTTTATTTTTCTAATTAATTATTTTAACTAGTAATACTATGCCATTTACGTGAAATGTGAGTCTAGTGACAGGAACATTTGAACAAAAAATATAGTTTTATGATTTTTTTTTGTACCAATGTCTTACTTCGATGATATTTTTTTTTGAATAATTTCAAAACATAATTACCCCTCTAAACCATTTCCCTTTTTCAAAGTTAAACACATTTAATCGTTAAAACATGTAAATGTTCTCGAACGGAAGATTATTGATTACTTATACACTATCGAGTGTTTATTGGGATCAAAAGCATATCTATATCTATGGCTTGTTCATGACAAAAATTACAAATTGCTCGTCATCTGTTTCCCTTCCCTTCGACTGGATTACATATCAAACTTGAACCAAATCTCATTTACTCTGTTGTCAAATTCGAATGGAGAATTGTATTGAGCAACCGTGTAAACTGTCGTGATGTCACGGGAGTGGCTTTTCTTGATGGCATCCAACCAAGTAGTGCCAGAGAGACTGGCGGACAAGGCCGCAGCTTCAACACCGACGTCTGAGTCCTTTATAAATCCACCGAATTGGCGTACGGCTACATAAGTCGGTCCCCATTTCTGGATCGAAATTCCGGTAGCCGGAGGTGGATCGACTTGGTTCTTCTTCGGGACATAAAAACTCACCAGAAATGAAGATTCGCAGAAGGGTCCGTCACTCGGAGCAATCTCTGTTAGAACCGGAGCTGTCATTTCTATCTGCTCATTGTAGTTGTTTTTCCCTTGGATGTAGTTGAATAACCTAAAACGAAATAATCAATTTAAACAAGATTGGTAAACTATAACTTGAAATCGGAATTAGGGTTCGAGTTTTCTAAATTAAATGCTTGGTTTTCGAAACGAATCGAGTACTAAAAGGAGTAAATTAACGTAACTGTAGGAAACCGGTGCGAGTGCCATCGACAAAGGAGATGTCATCGATGGGAGAAGTAGTCGCCCACATACTGGAATTATAAACGCGAATCTCGTAGCCTTCTCCGGAGTTGATTACATCGTATGTTGGACACTCAATACGGTTGCACTGCTGCGGGAATCCACCGACTGCGACGGCTTCCTTCTGTGTCAAAATTCCCGGCCATGACCCCAACTTGACGTCGGAGAGTAGGCTCAGTAGCATCGATAGCTTAAACAGACTGAAAACTGCCATTTTCAGTTGGAAATTTTGAAGAATAGCTCGAGGTGGGTATTAATGGTATAACAACAATGGAGAATGACCACACATTAAGGATTGATCAATGGCGTTCTGTGTTTAGCTCGGATTTCAGTGGGTGACATTGCTACACGTAAACTGCTCTGGTGACTGGTGCTAGTCTTCATATCTCTTATGGGCCATCAATAGTTCAACAATCTACATGGGTCGGGTCTGGCCCATTTTCTATACGTCGTTATATGCTATGCGGGAGGGATATTTCCACTTCTCTTTTTATTCATCCATTTAATTAGGGGTTTTTTTAGACACCATTAGACAATTTAATGACAACTTATCAATCTACAAAAACCAATGTAGTTTTATTTTTCAAGAAAACGGCACAAGCCTTTTTGGTGTTAAGAACCCACTCGCGTTTAAACCCTAATTAATTTTTGAAATATTTTTATTGGTTGAAATTACATTGTTTTCCGATATAATTATATGGTAATAATTTATCATCATTTATTTAAAAAGTAAGCCTAATAATATAGGTTGGTGTAGGGATGAAAGTGGGTCTAAACCCGGACCGGATAGACCCGGAACCGGTTAACGAGATTTTGTAGAACCGGAAATCGAATCGGTATATAGGAACCGGTTTCGGTTCGGTTCCGGATAAAGTGGGTCTAGAACCGGAAAATCAGAAAACATCAAAGTGGGTAGGTTGGAACCGGATAAAGTGAGTTTAGAACCGGAAAAACCAGAATTTTTTGGTAATTACTTACTACTTAGTGGGTTGAACTTTGAAAATTTTCATATTGATATCCCGACTTTGGGGGACTGTAGCTCATTGAATATGAAACCAAAATTGACAAAAATATAGTCTAAAATCATGTACAAACTCTAAACTACACTTTCGAAAAAACCGAATGTCAATCCGACTTTAAAGGAATGAGATATGCATGTGTTAACATTTTCACAAAATATAAAGTACAAAAACAAATAGCTAAAAAGTTGAAAATTTTCAATTTTGATATCCTGACTTCGGGGGACTGTAAATCATGAATATTAAACCAAAAATGACAAAATTATAGTCTAAACTCATGTACAAACTCTAAACTATAAGTTGGAAAAAACCACATGTCAATCCGACTTCAAACGAATTAGATATGCATGTTTTAAAACTTTCACAGAATACAAAAAAACTGAAAAACTAAAAACTTTCAGCTTTGACATCTCGACTTTGGGGGACTGTAAGTCAATGAATATAAAACTAAAAATGACAAATTTATAGTCTAAAATCATGTACAAACTCTAAACTACACGTTGGAAAAAACCGCATATCAATCGGAGTTGAAACGAATGAGATATGCATATTTTAAATGTTTCACAAAAACCGGTTCCAACCCTATAAGTGGTTCTGGTTCCTAACACCGGTTTCGATTTTTAGACCCGGTTTACACGGACCCGATGGACCCAAACCCAGATTACCCGGAACCCGGGTAAAGCCAATTTTTAAACCCGGAACCGGAACCGGTTCTATATATTCCAATTCTAACAGTTCCGGTTCTGAATCTCATCACTAGGTTGGTGTGTCTATAATAAAACGCATCTACTTAATATATTTGTATTTTTACTTTTGTACCTTTTTATAACCACATCCATTCAAACATTTTTCTTAACTGTGATCCGTTGTGATTTCTTATCTTGTTTTGATTTTATAACTTATTTTATTTTCACTTTTATATATTTGATTTTGAAATCCAGATCTTTCATTTTGATTTCCAAATCCGTTTCTAATTACTTTTATTTTTACCATATATATATATATATATATATATATATATATATATATATATATATATATATATATATATATATATTGGTGAAGTTCAATATATAATCATTATTAACATTGAACCAAGGAAACCAATCGTGAGCATCGAAAATCATAGTGAATATGTCTTTTATTAATAAACATCAACATCGATAAAAACAAAATAATAATAATAAAATAAAATAAAATAACTCGATCAGTTCAGATTCACACAGTGAATCTAAACTGTAAATATTTCAATTTTAACAATCACAATGCGATTATGACTTACTATTTCAACTATTTGATCATTCACAAATTAAGTGAAAATTACATATGAATCGAAATATATTTCCATATAGTTTTATAATATTTAACGTTTTGATTACTCCTAAATCAGTTTTGAAAAATTAACAAATTGATTTATTCACATTGTGAATCTGAACTATGTATAGTTTAGTACCAAAAAAATATGAATTTTGATATATTTATTAATTGTTTTCGATTAAAAATAGACCTTAACTTTTTTAAAAAAAAAACAAAGAAAATGAAGTGAGTTTTTTTGAAAAAAAAATCAATTTTCATATATCAATATAGATCACTATGGAAAGGTGACGAAAAATCATGAACAACAGTATATTCTGGTTTTTTTTTCTCGATAAAATTCATGAACAACGGTATATTTGGTGCATGTGTATCCATTGTTAATGTCCACAACCATTCAATCGCTTTAAATTCTGACGCTTTAGATTGGTTCATTGGTTCTTCATTAATAATAGTTCTCTATTGAACTTTTCCACATATGTGTATATATATATATATATATATATATATATATATATATATATATATATATATATATATAAGGAAAACGTAAGTTACAACACAATGCTTTAGATTGGTTCATTGGTTCTTCATTAATAATGGTTCTCTATTGAACTTTTCCACACACACACACACACACATATATATATATATATATATATATATATATTATATATATATATATATATATAAGGAAAACGTAGGTTACAACACAATGATCTATGTCTTTCACATAAAGACAACATACTATAAACTATCAACCTACAAAACCCTAATGAAATCGGAATTTATAAGGAAATTTACATACCTCTTGAATTGTTGTTGCAAACAAATCTAAAACCTTCTTCAAAGCTTTTGGAAGCGGGCACCACAAGTGTCGTGCCTCTGATGCTTCACATCCAACCCTTGTAACTAAGAGGCTTGAAGAGAGACGAGAGGGATGATAGAATTTTTGGTCTTGGCTCTAAAGAATGAAGTGGCCGAAAATTAGAGTCTAAGGGTTCCTTATATAGTGCATATTAGAAACCCTAGATAACCCTAAAATGAACAAAATAATATTTATTCAAATTGGTAATTATTCAGCTTCCTATTTTTTGTAACGAATATTCCAGATGCCCTGGAATAACCTAGAATTCGTCCACCCCTTCCAAGGAATGTTTTGGACTCTCTCTTGTTCAACTCTTAAGCAATTGCACTTTAACCCTTACACTTTTAATTAATTCAATTAGTCTCACAATTAATTGTAATTAATTTTTAATTATATATTATTATTTCTAATTATGTAACACCTGGTTCTTGGTACGTATTCTTTTATCAAATCTTTAAATGTTTAGCATTTTGGGTCTTGGACTCGGCGAGTCGAAGGACCAACTCGCCGAGTAGAAGCGGGATGGGACGCGGGGTTTAAGTGATGTACTCGGCGAGTCGGGTCCCCGGACTCGGCGAGTAGACCCTGTTTGGACAAAAACCCTAATCCAGGGGTGTGCACCCTATTTAAACACCTTAACTCGGCCTCCTTCGTCCCATTTACTCCCAGAAGACCCCCCATAGCAAACCCTAGCCGTTATTGAAGAGTTTTAAGGCATTTAGAGTGATCTTGGTGATTTTGTGGTTCAAGGAAGAAGGAAAAGCTTGAAGGATCAAGAGGAGGCTAGAGGGATTCAGTTGTGAGCATCATTTGCAGTCTTCAGAAGGTATAAAGTCTATACCTTGCTCTTTCATTTGTTAGATCCCTCTTTGGGAAGATTTAGGTCTTTTATGAGCCATTTTGGTAGCCAACCATGTTTGCAAACGTGGTTGGGGATTTGAGCTTCTGAATGACATCATTCAGAGAGTCACTAGGCAGATTTGGGTTGCTTTTGCACCCATGAAAGGTTCCATGTGCCATATGAGCTTGTTTTATGTCCTTTTGAGCTCAAAGTCCCATGCAAGCACGTAAAGGTTGTAACTTTATGTGTTAGATCGATTGTAGAAGCTTGGATCTATCTTTTGATCAAAGGATGTACATCAGAAAGCAAAGATTTAGGGTATGGACGTGACCAACTCGGCGAGTCCACTATTGAACTCGGCGAGTCTAAGGGTTTTGCCCTTTCTGTTGAGGGTCAAAAGAACCCAGTTGAGTGTGGAAAGGTTTTAAGGGGGTCCCAGGGAGTGACCCAACGTTCTGGACTAAGCCATTGTGCTGGAAGTTCATGGGACTCGGCGAGTGCATGAACGGACTCGGCGAGTCCAAGGCAATCTCCTTAGAACTCGGCGAGTTGTTCATCAACTCGGCGAGTTGAGGACAGATCTGGTTCATCAGATACAGATCTGGTTCATCAGATACAGGACAACTCGACGAGTTGTTCATCAACTCGGCGAGTCGGATGAGTTTTCATGGGGCGTTCGAATGAGAGAAGAACTCGTCGAGTTGACGGCCCAACTCGACGAGTAGGGTCACGGATGAGGACGAGTAGAGAGTGAGGGACTCGGCGAGTTGACGGCCCAACTCGGCGAGTCGGGTCAACTGGAAGTTGACTTTGACTTTGACTTTGACTTGACTTGGTTGGGGGTAAATGGTCATTTTACCCTAAGTATAGAGATCAGTTTTTAACTGAGTGTTTATGGGGTTTGTAGCCGGAGGATTTCCGGAGCAGCAGCAGCGGACGGAGGTTTCCCGCACAGATTATCAGCAGCCACTTGTACGAGGTGAGTTACCTTCCAGTAGCGGTGGGTCTATGGCCACAATGCCGGCCCACCAGTAGGAGTTGCATGATAGATGATTGTCTCTGTGATATTCATCTAGGGTTGTTACTACCTGTGATATGTTTATGTGCTAAAATGACATGATGCTATGTACTAGTGACTGTAGGGGGAGATAGTCCCCAGATTACCGGCCAATAGGGTCGAAGGGGCGGTCGTGCCCAGCCATGCTAGATAGATTATGTGATAAATGTGTTATGTGGTAGTAGTAAGGGGGTGAAATAGTCCCCAGTACCCGGTCGAGAGGACCGAAGGGGAGACCAGCACCCAGATATGCTAGT